CAGCTGCGCACGGAGGCCTGGGGAGGCCGCACGTAAGCCTGGAGGGCGCGGGGGGCCAGCTGTTCATAGAGGCCCAGGGAGGGCACACGTAAGCCTGCAGGGTCCGAGGGGCCTGCTGCGCACAGAGGCCCGGGGAGGGCAAACATAAACCCGAAGAGCCCGGGGGGCCAGATGCGCATGGAGGCCCGGGCAGGGCACACTTAACCTCGCAGAGCCCGGGTGTCCAGCTGTGCACGGAGGCCCAGGGAGGGCGCAGGAAGAACGGAAGGGCCCGCGGGGCCAGCTGTGCACGGAGGCCCGGGGACTCCCCGGAGGCCTCCCCGATCTGCGTGCACAGCTGGCCCCCCGGGCCCTGCGGGCTTACGTGTGCCCTCCCCGGGCCTCCGTGCGCAGAAGGCCCACCACGTCCTCCGGGCTTACGTGCACCATCCGAGGACATCCATGCACAGCTGGCCCCCCGCGCCCTCCGGGCTTACGTGCATCCTCCCCGGGCCTCCATGTGCAGCTGGCCCTCTGCGCCCTTCGGTCTTATTTTCGCCATCCCCGGGCCTCCATGCGCAGCTGGCCCCCCGGGTTCTGTGGGTTTTCGTGCACCCTCCCCGGGCCTCCCTGCACAGCTGGCCCCGCGGGCCCTGCGGTTTTTCCTGTGCCCTCCCTGGGCCTCCGTGCACAGGTGGACACCCGGGCCCTGCAGGCTTAAGTGTGCCCTGCCCGGGCCTCCAGGCGCAGCTAGTCCCCTGCACTCTGCAGTCTTTTGCCCTCCCCGGTCCTCCGTGCACAGCTAGCCCGCCGGGCTCTCCGGGCTTATGTTTGCCCTCCCTGGGCCTCCGTGCGCAGCTGGCCCCCCGCGCCCTCCGGGCTTACGTGCACCCTCTGCGGTCCTCCGTGTGCAGCTGGCCCCTCGGGTCCTCCGGGCTTACGTGCGCCCTCCCCTGGCCTCCGTGCGCAGAAGGCCCACCACGTCCTCTGGGCTTATGTGCGCCCTCCCCTGGCCTCTATACTCAGCTGGTCTGCCGTGACCTCCGGGCTTATGTGCATCCTCCCTGGGCCTCCATGTGCGCAGCTGGCCCCCTGCGCCCTTCAGGCTTATTTTCTCCATCCCTGGGTCTCCGTGCCCAGCTGGCCCCCCCACGCACTCTGGGCTTACGTGTGCTCTCCCTGGGACCCCAGTGCCCCCCGTGCCCGCCGTGCCCCGGGCACTCCCGGCTTACATGTGCCCTCCCGTTTTGCTCCCTCACGGCCATTGCAACCCAACAAAGCAGTTTTGCTTCTGGCTTCAGAAGGTGATTCCTGCTTCCGTCCATCTGGGAACCTTTCCGAATATGGGAGTAGGTGGCTGGAAGTAAACAACAAGTTTAGCCTGTATGAGAACAGGAGTCTGTTTTCCATGCTGTGGTCCACACCTCTACCTTCTCTTGGAGTGCAAGCATAAAGGAGTTGAAAGGACTAGTTGGGACTTATCCCAATTTTATTCAAATACAGGGAGATGTCAGGG